GGAACCATTTCCCGCTGCATTTCTGTGGGTGTGTCCCAGCAAGAAAGCCCACTGGTCCAGAGACAGGAAACCGATTCCTACACTAGGAGGTGGCACAGCTTGCCTCTAATCCACTTCCCAATCCCTAAATCCTGTGGCTCCGTCTGGAAAAAGGAAGCCAAACCCAGACAAGGGAGGAAGGGGCCCTGTCCCACAGAAATTCCAAACTGACGTCAATCCCCAATCAAATGTGCAGGCCCTCCCACCATACTTTGGCCCGTTCAAGATGTGTCTCACGAATGCTAAGGAAAGCGAGAGAAAGAGCTCCCTGAGCTTCAATGCTCAGGTTATACTGCCCTCCCCTGGCAGCTCGACCTCCAAGGTGCCCCAGCCCCGCCCAGGAAGTCTGGTGGTGGAGCCTTCATGCAGCTTCGTGTCCCTCCTCCTCCTAAGGTCACAGCCACACTGTAGACCCTCAGGGCTCTCCTGAATTCTCTGGGGTCACCAGGTGGCCCCCTGTTCTTAAACCCCCAAGACTTAAATTCTCTTTGAATTTAACTTTGTGTCATGTGGTGGCATGTCACAAAATACAGATTCTACCCCTTACAAGCTCTCTGATTCCAAATTTTTCTTAGTGTGACTTCTGGATGTAAAGACCTGCCAACCAATCTGCCAAAAACGAGACGTGTCCACCACATGTAAATTCAATTTTAATTCTGGTTTATTTGCAGGATTTTACTTAAACCCATTCGCATTTCTCTGTTTCTCATCATTATATAAAAACTCAATCTTTGTACAAGCGTGTAAAATGCTCAACAATGAACAAGAAGTGAATATTGCACATTTGATGACCGGATAAGATGTGGTTGTTAAAGGCCACACTATACATGTGGGAAGGAAAGAGTTAAACACACTCAGGAAGTACTTGTTGCCACATAAGTGATTTTAAGCCACTGAAGGAAAACTAAATTCTAACCTTCAGCGCTCAGTGAGAGATATTACACCTATACATTAAAAAATAAAAGTTTTAATAAACAACATTCATTCCTTAGTGATTTCATTATCCCCAAACAGGGTCAGTAGTTCAGTTTTATTTTTTTCAAGTTATTGTCACCAAAAACCAGGAACCTACCCAGACTGGAAGAAGTGTCAGCTGTAGCTTCTGCAGGACACTTGACGGCTCTATAATGTGTGGGGATCACCAAGGACCAGGACAAGGTCTGTAAGAGCGCCTGGCTATAAGCAAAGAACTTTATCCAGCTCAACCCAGATTCAAACGGAAGATCAGTATGAGGATACTCTTGAAAAAAAAAAAAAAAAAAAAAAAAGCAACATGTTTGTTTCCAACATTAGACTCCTCGTTTTGTTTAAGAAGACAAAGTTAACTGAGCAGAAAAAAATTCAGCTACTATTCAAAATAAGCTGTGAAGTTGGTCCAGACTGAAGAGCAGACAGTGTTAAAGGATACGTGCAAAGCGCCTTATTTGTTAGCTTATCATGCAGGCAGGCGATGAGACTGATCTTGGGCAGCAACTAATGTTAAACCAAGGTGTGGAGTTTGAATTCGCCACTAACTGAATGTGCGAACCACAGGGCACAGCCGCCGAGAGCCGATGCCATCCACATGTCCCAGGGGGTCAACGTCACTGCTTGGCCCACACTGGTGTGACAAAACCCGGGACAGAGATCAGGCCAAGGGCACAAAACAGAAGGAAGCATACTCTGTTGGTGCCTGCGGGTGACTGCCACCTCAAGTTTGTGCCCCTGAGCCCCGGCCCTGGTATTCATGGACACGGCCCTTTTGGAGTAACATGGGCTAACTTGGGCACTTTCCCCAAAGAGCAGCCTTGTCAGACATCGTGGGGGAAGAGGACCAACTAAAGGCACTGAGCATTTAGCATGAAGACTAAGAGGTGGACCGGTGGGGTCAGGTGGGTGACGAGGTCTGAAAATGTTAGAAGATCGGTTAGAGTAGCAGAGGAGCCCCGGCCTGGCCAGCTGCAGCCGAACCATGACCAATGTCATCAGGCCAGTTCTGGCACAACATAAAGCCAATGCCCACCTGGGCTTGTCCACGAGGGGCAGGACTACTGGCCACAGGACAGGGCGGAGGAGAGGCAGGGGGTTGGCTGGAAGAGCAGGGCTGGGGGTCCCTGCTGAGTGAGAAGTGGGACCAGATGAACTTTAAAAGTCATGATTCTACAGCATTTGCTTCCTGCTCCAGAGGAAATCATTAACCTTAGTATTAAAAACCCAATAGAAAACTGTGTATCACCTTCATTCAAAAGAAAGGGCATGAACTGAACACCCACCTTGTGCCCCCTGGATGCGCTGATTTTAGTAACTGAGCGGGAGGAATGGGGCTGGTTAGGGTGAAGTGAGCCCACTCGGGGGATTTTCATTTTCTGGAGAGGCTCACCCAGCCTCAGAATGAGGGACTCAGGCCACCCCAGGGGGCAGATGTGACTGAGCCCCAAACTGATCATGATGTTCTCTGCACGCCCAGGAGCTCTGGGATCACGTCGGGTGGGTCCTGGCTCCTCCATCAGGCTGAGCGGACAAATCAGCATAACCTCCCCATCGGCCTGTGCCTTCCAGCTTTCTGCCCTGTCCCCTTGTTCCAGTCGGGCGCAGGAGCCAGGACACGGGGGAGGTCAAGCGTGCCTCTCGCACCCGAGCTCTGTGAGCTGTGGGGAGATGAGTGCAGATGCAGGGGAGGCACCTGTCACAACGTCCCTGTCGGAGCCAGGTGCCACCAACGGGCACAGGCAGGGAAGGTCGGTGCTAGCTCGCCTCCAACACTGCTCGGCACGGGGCGGCCTTGGTCTGGCTTGATCCAGGCATCACATGTGGCACCGCAGGTAAGGGTGTCTGAACCTGGCCCTGCGCTCTCCGGAGGCCGACTGTTTTTGGCAGCAAAGGCTCATCGTTCCTGAAAGCCAAGGGCTGGCTGTTCTATTCTGCCCCCAGAAGGCTATAGCAGTGCTGCCACCTTCTGAACTATCTCAGCATCTTTAAAGCACTTCCTCAGCCTCGAGATGCTCCAAGGAGGCTATGTGGTGAGTGAGGCCTCCACTGTTAAGCACAAAGTAGTCAGAGAGGAAGTATTTCACCAACCATCTCTGATAATCAAGTTCCAGTATCAGAACAGAGGACACTGGGCATAACATTCTGCATTAACTTTAACTGAAATACCCCTAAAATTCATATTCTTCCCAGCTACAACCAAAGACTGATTTTATTTTTTATAATTTTTACAGACCAAATACATTATAAATATTACAAAGCTTTGAAAATTAATAGATGAATCATAATTTTCTTTAAAATGTAGACTGTCACTCAAAATTTTCACATTCTAGGATATCAATAATTACAGCCTCCTCACAGAAAACAGCACACAAAACACTTCTGTCATGAAATCTTTGTTGCCAAATCGGCCACTGAACTGCCCACAGCTTATGACATTTTCTTAACACAGCACAGGGAGGCTGACTGATTTTGAAAATGGAGAAAAGCAAAACCAAGGAGAGCCCTGTGATGTGCCCTCTGAGAGGGATGCTTTGTGGCCTACAACCTTGGAGGCTCACAGGGATAATCTTGATCTGTGGAGCAGATGTGTTCTGTGCAACTAAACAAGTTCAAAATGGGAGAACAGGCTCCCGCACATTTCCAGATGTTGGGGGGAGCACTCCAAGAGGAGATCTGAAGAGAGGTTATCACTCCGTTAACCTTTATCCCGCTTCCCCCTGCTGAGGGCTCTCAGTTCAGACACTGTTAGATAAATATCCTCGGGTTGTAATTAATCCATGAACAGAAGACATATTCTGCCAGCTGAGTGAACAAAATCAATTTCGAGCCAAGAGAATTAGGAAGGCAGAAGTCAAACCGCTCATGCCGGGGGTGGAAATGACAAGAGCAAGAAGCTGGCCACAGAGCAAGGCAGCAGACAGGCTCTGGTAGCGAGTGAATGGTGAACAACAACAGAAGGCACATGGCTACTGGAAAAGTCAAGTTTCCACGGACAAGTGTCTAACTTCATTTGAGCTTAAATGTGGAATGAAGAAACAAGCAGAATACAGAGCATTAAGTTCTCAGACTCTCTCTCTAGACAGCAAGGCCTTCAGATTTCAAACCTGCTGTCTATCAAGAGGTGCAAACTTTGATGTCCACGGGGGCTGAGGAAGCGGTGTGAATGCAGGAATGGGCTGGGGTAGGCCTGACACTATGTCCACATATGTCCACAGTGACCACACTCTCCACCACGGGGATCAAACGAAACACGTCTGTACACAGTCTGCTCATCACATGCTACCTGTGTGCCCCCTCGGTTTACATGGACATCTCCTTCTTCATGAGGACCACAGCTGGATGGAAATGGACTTGTCACCATCTCTGCCATCCACTACAATCAAGGATCAAGTGGCCACATTTCAGACAATGCCTCACTTTAATTCAGCGTTCTTATCTCCATTTTGAGGGAAATAATACTTTGAAGCTGGTGTATTTCCCCACATTTGAGAAATGCAGAAGTTTTCAAAGCTTGTTTTACTTTGAAAGAACACAAATGAGGTTCAAAACTGAGGGTTCTACATGATCCCCAAAGCAGTTAGATCTGACACAGCAGTCTTGAGATTTAAATAAAACAGGGAAGACAGAAATGGAGACATACAACAGAGCCCCGTGGGGGGTCCTGTGAGGTGACTGGGGATCCAGCAGCTGAATGGCTCTGTGCCCAAGTGGGACTCATTTTCTCCAGTGGGGTGAACATAAAAACTACAAAGGCCCTGGGAAGTTTCAAGAACTAAGAAAACACACACACACACACACACACACACACACAAAGACATACACACATGCGCATGCACAACAGAATTATCTAGTGCCTCCCGACTTGCCTCTCAGTCAACGAACTCACTGGCCCAACTGAGCTCTGCAGTGAGACTGAGCAAAGTTACTTGTGCAACAGCAAAGTTAAATGTAAACATAAACAGCAACAGGTTTTTTTGAGAGACTCGGTGTTACTATCGTATGTTGTCCAAATAATGCACTTCTGGATAGAGACAGTTAACAAGAAGAGCCAGGAAGCTTTTCCCATCTTGGAGGCAATGGCCAGGATGCTTTATAAATTGTGCAGCTTGTGATACCTGATCCTGGTATTCAACATACTGCTTACTTGCTGTCAAGGATTCAAGAGCATTCAGAGCCTGAAAGACACAGAAGACGGGAGGGTTAACCACACAGATGTATAGTTTGTGATCCCCGCAGGTGCAGCACACCTGCCATCATCTGGTGCAACTGCGAGCCTCAGGGAAGCCTAGGGAACCGGAAGTAGAAGTCCCAAAGTCAGGCACTGATGAACCACAGCAGAAGGAAGCCAGCACCCAAGCTTCTCTGGCTTCAGCAGCCTCCACACCCAGCCTTCCCTCCTCCTGGCTGTGCTGTTTCTCCAACGGAGCTTCCCCGCAGAAAGCCACTGTGGCAGCCAGGCCAGGCCGGCCCACTGCCTCATCCTCCTTCCCGCCAGTGCCGGCACAGAGCCCTCCCCACCGATCTCCTGCTGCCTCTCCTCCTAGAACCCAAACCAAAGTCCCAGGCACCAGCTACTGTGAGATTTTGATTTGCTATTGGGTTTGTTCTTAGATTACCAAATCACGTCATATTAAACTGTCTAATTATATGCAATTCAAAAGAAACCAGTGCCTAAGTGCTGCTGAGGGTGAGATCATTCTATCGGTCAACAAGCATAAAGTACAGATCAAGCTCCTCAGCTTTGCCCGCCAGAAACAATGAAGGTGTTCCCATGCCTCTCTTCGGGAATAAAGAAAAACATTCTTCAATTCCACAATTTTAACATTTCTTTCCTTCATAGTAGGAAAGGAGAAGAAGACTGTATGTGGAGAAAACAAAATCAGAACAGTGGTTCTTGGTGTGGGAGAGCTTTGTTTTCCAGCTACACCGGTCATCCACCCCCAGGATTCTGAACGTGACCACAGACTACCCCACACCGTCCCCTCTCAGATATGGGGGCCACCGCACAAGAGAATGCAGATCAAATGCAGATCAATGCTCAGGTCAGTAAACAAGGATGGAGAAGTCGTTGAGGATGGTAAATAATTTGGCAGCTTAGAAATAAACTGCCAGGGGATTGAAGACAGAAGTGTCAGAGCCAAAAATGAACAACTGAAGGGATGTGGCTCCCAACCTGACTGCTAGGTGGAGGGAGTTCAATCTGAGAACAGGCATCAATGGGGGGCAGGCAGGAGTCATCACATAAGGGAATGAAGGTGGACAGGCAAGGCCCGGGAGACCTGGTAGCCACAGGAGAGCATCAGACTTCTCGAATATATGTGGGTGTCACGCCCACTTCACAGTCGGCCCTCGGGAGAATTTCCTGCCTACGTGTGGCAGTTCCTACACGGCTCGTATATGACATTAGGGACTCAAACGGCAGTTGTCAGGTCAATTGGCGACAAGCATCGGGTACTGTATAAACCAAAAAGCCTGTGAAGAACCTGCTGCCTGGATCGCTGGATGCTTGCTCTTAATAACCCAGAGATCGCCCTGCACGTGGCCGGCTTGGACACCACAAGGCCACAAAGGACGAAGAGCGAGGGGTGTGAGTGCCCACCAGACACAGAACTGTAGAGCGCAGACAGGGTGAGGCCCCAGCCGGCACTTACAAGTCACTGAGCCCCGCCCCTCTCGGCCCCACTTCCTCAGCACACAACCAGGATAACAGCAGCTCCTACAGAACAGGGTTCTTATGAGGATTAAACGAGCTAAAACGTTAACTCATTAATATCGAGTGAGTTAAAACTCACAACAGTGCCTCCAGTGAGCACTCGGGAATGCTGGCCACTGTTTTACAGGAGACCCCTCTGTACACGGCCAGCCTGTTTACAGGTGAAAATACCTATGAGGACAGGACCACTGTCGCGTGGCCTCCCACGTTTTTAGAACAAACTATAATTTCTCACAGCTGCCACTGTGTCCATGTGTTTTGGTTATTCCCACATCAGCCAACAGGGGTCAACCCCCAGACTCACAAAATCAGAACGACTTCCTTGGTTCCAAGTTAAAGCTCAACTAACCTAGTCAGTCTCCTGTGGCCCCATCTTCTGTGCCAGTCCCCGGCCCCCAGCACGTGGTCACAATCCCATTCATCAGAACCAATTCGACCCTGGACCGGCTGGCTTGCCCATGGCCTTGCTTTTTCTACAACGGCACTTCCAGTGCTCTAGGCACGCACCTACAAAAACTGGTTTAAAATCTGAGGCAGGCACGTGCAGCATGCAGAGCTACGACAGCGAACCACGCCGCCGTGTGTGAGGACAACGGCTGCCGCCCCTCGCCTCCCGGGAAGGCCCGCCAAAAAGACTCCGACCCTTAACTGTAAAGCTGTTTTTACTGACCTGCTGAGCTTTTGGGGTCAGATGTAATTCAGAGCCAGGCTTCAAACGGATCTGATCCTCGGAAGGAACCTGAACCGAAAGGAAGGCGGCCATGCCTCGAGCAACCACTCGGAACCTTCGGCGTCAGGGAGAGGTCAGAAGTAAATGACGATTCAAGTAAATATTTTAAAATAAATACCACATTTTCTCTTTAAAAACAAGATAAACACATTTCAGACCTAACGTTGTTGCTAGCCTCTGCAGGAAAACCTTAAGTATGACCAAGAAGGAGCCTTAACCTTCCTTTCCATCATCACTGCCCAAAAAACGTAACATTCAGACTGTTGCAAACATGTAGAATAACTGGAACCTCAGGCACTGCTGGTGTGAATGTAAAAACTGGTGCAGGAAAATGGATTTGGGAAGTTACTCAGTAACTTAAGAACAGAGAAACCATATAACCCAGCAATTCTACTCCTGGGCACATACTCAAAAGAACTGAAAACATGTGCAGCAAAAGTTTGTTAACAAACTTCATAGCAGCCAAAAAGTTAAAAACCCAAATGTCTATCCACTGATGAATGGATAAACAAAATGTGGTACATCCATACCACATCCACAAGGCTGAATATTACTCAGCCATAAAAAGGAGTGAGGTACTGATTCATGATTAAACATGGGTGAGTCTTGCAACTTCAGGTGAAGTCACAGAAGCCAGACACAAGAGGCCACACAGTATATGATTCCATTTCTATGAGATGTCCAGGAAGGATATAATAAAGTCAGAAGGTCACTTAGTGGCTGCCAGAGACTCAGGGGAGAGGGACATAGGGAGTTAACTGTTTAACGAATGGGATTTCCTGTTGGGAAGACAGAAACATGTCTGAACTAGACAGTGGCAATGAGTACAACAACACTGTCAATGTATTACACGCTGCTGAATTGTATAGTTTAAAAGAGTTACCATAATAAATTTTACATTATGTGCAGTCTGCCACAATTTAGGTAAATAAAAGTCACATACTCCTGCTAAATTCTACCACAAAGACACATGATGTGACCTGGTCTGGACTAAGTGATTCCCGAAGTTGCAATGGGCTATTCTACAAGAATGCTGACATCACAATGGCAGAGCTCTTTTCAACCCTGATAAAGGCTAGGGAAGAAAACCACTACGCAAATAAGGGAGATAAAAATTGGAGGCCAGTGGCAAATTCTTCCATGCCTTGCAATTTTCAGCAACTAAAACTTAGACTTGTTTCTCATTACTTATCCCTCTCATCAGTTGACCTGAACTCATCGCGATTCACAGTTCTAGGAGACTGAGTCCCTCATGGGCCTGCGCTGCCCTGACAAAGTACAGGCAGTGAAGCAACTAACTGGGGTATTATAACCTAACTTTACACACCATCGCTGGCTCAAAGCCAGAAAGAAATCAGTAGTGTGGTCAGGTTACACAGTCAAAATACAACGAGAGATATTACTAAGAAAACATTCTTTAAATGTGAAAACAAAGTTGTTTACAAAAAATAAACATGTTTTGTAATATATAAAGATGTAATCAAGCTGATTTTTTCCCCCCTTAATCTATGAGGGGACCTAGCCCTGAAGTCAAAAAGCCTACTCAAGTATCCCAGTCCCCAAGCAGGGGCAGATGCTGAGGCCCAGTGGGAAGAGCAGTGGCAGGCGCCTGCTTACCTGTTGGACAGGGGCGACTTCCGGCCCAGCCCGATTGCCCCCAGAATTCCGGAGCTGAGCCTCTCCTCGGCCAGCTGGCTCTGTCTGCTCTGAAGCATGAGCAGAATTCGAACGACAGACTCTATCAGGACCGAGTCACTCTGTTCCGTCTGAATCAGGGACAGCTGCAGGACTTGGTGCCACCACAAAAACAGCTTGGCCTCTTCCTGCACGGAGCTGGGGGGGGCCCAGGAGGAAAACACAATTAGAGGTGGCTTCTTTCCACTCCTGTTTAATTGAAATTCCACATTTGAATTTTAAGTATGGGGGACACTTGGTACTTTCAAAGCTTTGGCTGACAGCCCAGCGTGTTAACACAGTGACAGGGACAGAGCAGCCACAGGGCCAACATACCCGGGGTACACCTGCTCCAACCACCTGCTCAGGGTGAGAAGCACTTTCATTTCGTTCCTTAAAGTCTGTTCGCTGTTTAAACACTGTAGCAAGTAGACATAGAGAGTCAGGTAGCTGCCGAGGGACAGGCACTCCTGCAGAAATTCTTCTATGGTGAGCTCCGGAACTTGGAGGGACACCAGAATGGGGCCCCATCCTAAATTCTGACTGAGGGAGCCTGAAAAAAAAAAACAAAAAAAAACAAAACAAGGGAAGATAGCAAGATGAAAACAAGAATGAAATTATTTACCTGCTGGAATGGGCCTCTTCACTTTAGGCTTCATGTCAAGCCCGCGTGGGCCCTGGAGGCCACACAAGTGAAACGTGCCTCATGGCATAGACTGGGAAGTCCTCACGCTAAGTGCCCATCCACGGCTAGAGGGCAAGAGGTCAGAATCACCCTTCTCTCCCTTTTAATACCTTAAAATCACAGGTAGGTACTGCCTGTCCAAGTCACCTAAGGGTTTTAACTTCATCTAATACCTTTTAAGTGGGTTGTGAATATGCTTTTCTCAAGGAAATTATTATTACTCTATTTGACAGAAGTATTTCTACTTTTCAGGGCTTGGTTTGACTCATACCTCAACAGAAATCCTTAAAACTGTTTCACAAACTGAAAAAAAATTTTTTGATTTTAGCAACCCGAATGAATTTGAAGCAGGAGTGTTATCCTAGTGGTTCTCAATTCCTTGGGGGAATGACAGTGGGGAGATGGTGACATGTGCAGCACCTTCCATGGGGGGACACAGGGACATGCATTGTTCTTGCTCTAATACTCTTCCTTCTCTCCCACTGTGTGCACAATGATGTGTATCTGGGAATCACAGCTGAGAATGTTCATCCGAGCAATTCTTCTTAACCAGACCACAATGTTTCCAGAATCGAGTTTAGAGGGAGGTTAGGGAATAAGAATGATTTTTAAAAGGTGGGGGGGGGGGGGGGCTTTGATCTCTTTGTAATAGTGTAAAAGATGTGACAAGAAGCAATAAAAGACACACATGAAAACTCATTTTAAAAAGTGACAAAAATAAAGAATATTAACATAGCAGGTCTTATAAAGATTCTGGTTTATAGCATTTCTTTGGAAGATCATGGCTAGGCCTGTGACTTTACATGACCTGCCTCCCATAAAAGAGCCGGTCTGACCTCTGGCTCTGTGAATGAATTGGAGGTTCCCTCCACTGAAACAGGACTGTACTAACAGACATGGGCCATAGGTTCTCACACTAACTGCAGATCTTTGTGGACAATACAAAATACATTGTGAAACATCAGCTACATTAACAAACAAATCGCTCACTGGAAGGGTCCAGAAAGGTACATCTTTCTGAGAAAGCTTTACTCTCCCCTGGAAAAGACATCCTAAAGAGAGCCTCGTACCTTCGTTGAAGTAGGCAGTGATGCAGGCTTCCGTCGTCTCAGCCATGTGGCGGACAGAAGCCAGGCTCTGACAGGCTGCTGTTAAGAGAGGCAGGACCACCAGCCCGTGCACCTTCTGCCCAATCCAGGCGCGGACACTGCCCCGGAGGAACTCTGCCGTTGGAATAGTTGCAGTGTTCATCATCATCAGGACTTCCATAAAGAGGCTGCTGAGCGCCATGTGGCGGGTCTGGCTGTCCATGTCTGCAGGGGAGCACAGACACATCGTGAGTGGCTATAGGAATGGCGATGTCAATGTGCCCGATCTTGGCCACACTCCGGGGCACACTTTACAGTTCTGGTCACTGATCTTGAAGGACCAGAAGGAACACTCTGCATGGGGTGTAGCTTTTAAGGACAGGATGCAGCACATCAGTACTTCGTAAGGGCAAAGGAGGAACCACTGAGAGATCCCTGGTTACGGGAGGCGGCTGAGCTATACTTCAATAAATAGACATCAAGCTGGTAAAAGACTAAATTATTTATCAGAACATGCTTACTTAGACTTTATCCTCCAGACTTTGCTCACAGATCTCAAAAGCCACCTGGTAAACTGTCTAGAAACAGTACCTCCACTCACCAGTGCCAAAGCTGTAGATATTCTGGAGTGATTTACAAGGAATAGAGGTTATTCCTTAAAACTAAATATAAAAGTAAGGAAAAGAAAAACCTTTTTAAACCTTTTCAAAAGAACTCCTCACTTAAGCAGTTTTTATTTCTTTCTTTGTTTTTTCAGTAAGAAAAGTGGACAGACGGGCAATATAATGGGTCTTTCCAAAAAATTGAGATGAGAACAGAGGACGAGAAAAAGCAAATTCGTTCTACAAGAGAACTGCAAAACGTTATTGAGGTGGATTCCTTCTTCACATCCCCAAATAGAAAACATTTCACCGGGAGTTCATGGAAAAGACAATCCAACAGGCCACGGTTATTGCCAGCTCCTTCTAGCTCTCCTTGAGTTAGGTAAAAATTCTTACTGAACTAGAACTAGGGCTTTCTTATCACAAGGCTTCGGTACTCACATCAATGAAAGTAGGGGAGTCTTGGTCTTACTCATCACACACCTATCAAACCAAACTCACCCACTCACAAGTGTTGAATAAACCCTAACTTAATGTTACTATAAGACCTACTTCTTATCGGGGCACCTGGGTGGCAAGTCAGGTTGGGCGTCTGACTTTTGATTTCGGCTCAGGTCACAATCTCATAGTTCATGAGTTCAAGCCCTGCATCGGGCTCTGTGCTGATAGCGTGGAGCCTGCTTGGATTCTTTCTCCCTCTCTCTCTCCTCCTCCCTGCTCACTCCCTCTCTCTCAAAAATAAATAAACATTAAAAAAACAACAACACTCCTACTTATTATCAAGCAAGGACTTCAAAAACAAAGGTTTTAGAAACAACCTATATATGAATACCTATTTTTTCATGTATTTCTATGGGTAGAGATACTTTTTTTTTTAAGGTTATTTATTTATTTTGAGAGTGAGTGAGCAAGCATGAGCGGGGGAGGGGCAGAGAGAGAAGGAAACAGAGAATCCCTAGCTGTCGGAATCTGACAGCATGGAGCCTGACGCAGGGCTCTCGTGAACCATGAGATCATGACCTGAGCTGAAATCAAGAGTTGGACGCTTAACTGAGCCACCCAGGCACCCCACAGGTATTCTTTATTAAGGCATTATCTATGAATTTCAGTCCAATAGCAATTTTAATTTGAATCTGCCTTTTAATTATGACTCACAGGAACAAAAAACTACTACAATAAACTTCCTAATAGATCCCACCCTTGCCTCTCCCTATGCATCATCAACATAGCCAACAAATGTTTTCTGAAAAACCAGATCTGATCCCATCACTCTTCTGATTAAGATCTTTCTAGAAAGCCCTCCTCTCCTGTGCTTGGCCAGCTATTAGCTAATCTTCAGGGCCTAAACCCATTTGATCAATTCTAAAACAGCCTCTCCAGTACTGTCTGGTAATTTTCTTCTTTCCTTTTTTAACATTCACTGAGTTACTGACTTGCCAGACCGATGCTACAGCTCCAGGCATACACTCATTCCGTGCTTACACTATCCACATGAGACAGGTACGATTATTATGCCCAGTCTGCAGATGAAGTTACACAACTTCTACAAGATCACATAGTTAGCAAGTGGATAAAGCAGGCAGTTTGGTTCCAGAATCTCTATTTTTGACTACCATATTACATGCCCTGTATGGTAAATCTATATTGCAGATATGTTCGAGAAATTTCAACTGATTTCTTGTTCACCAATTCCAATCTGCTCAGTGACACCAGCTTTAAATGACTACGCTTCCCAGCATAGTACACTACAATCACCTATTCTCAAACAGTATTTAAGTAAATATTTAAAAGTTTGTGAGATTCACCCATGATGAGGCAGATTTTCACTGTTGTATTCTATTATGCAAATATACAACAATTTGTCCTTTCTACTGAACAAATGGGCTCTTTTCGGTTTTGGATCCCCTTAGATGCATAGCTACAGACACTGTTCATATTTCCCAGGGCACAGGTGCATTTCTTTTAGAATATTCTAGGAGCAGAATTCTGAGTCGTAAGATATGCAAACCAGTAGATCATAGCAAACTTCTAAAAAAGGTTGTACCAATATACTCTGTGATCAGCAGTACACGAGAGTTACTCTGATCTACATAGCTGCCAACAGTTAGTATTGAAACCTTTTTAATTTTAGCCATTCTAATGGATATGTCATCATATGTCTCTAAGGTTTTAATTTGTATTTCCCTGATTATTTTTTTAAAGTTTACTTATTTATTTTGAGAGAAAGAGAGAGAGAGAGTATGCTCATGCATGTGTGAATAAACGGGAGAGGGGCAGAGAGAGTGGGAGAGTGAGAGAATCCCAAGCAGGCTCCGTGCTGTGAGATCATGACCTGAGCTGAAACCAAGAGTCGGATGCTTACCCGACTGAGCCACCCAGACACCCCAATATTTTCCCTGATTATTAACAAGGTTTAGCACCTTTTTGTAGATACACTGGTCATTTAGATATTCTCTTTTGTGGAGGGTCAATTCAAGGGTCTTTGTTCATTTTTTTCTAGTGGGTCATCTGTTTCTTCCTTCCTTTATTCAGTGTGACAATTTTAGTCATTCATATTTAATGTAATTACTGATGTAACGGAGTCTATTATCTTTTGATATATCTTCTCTTTATTCCTCCTATTCCACATTCCTTTTTCTCTCTTTTACTTCCTTTCATTATATCTTATTGTACTTTTTCTCTTTTCGTCTGGAAGTTAAACACTCAACATTCTTATGGTGGTTATCTTACAAATGACACATGCATTCTTGAGTTTTCAAAGTCTGATGTTAACTGACTCTCAGACCATGCAAGGGCTTTAACCTACTGGTGCCATAACCCAGGGAGGCGTTACTGTTATTCTTGTTTTAGACACTCACATTTCATTTAGATTCACCAACGCCTGTATTGGCTACTTTCATTGTTCTTCATCCTCAGTCTCTTCCTACGTATCTTCTCTGGATTATTACTTCTTCCCTTCCACAGTCTTTAGTTGTATTTTGCTGTTCTTTTTATAACCTCTTAAGCTGGATCCTTACCTTACTAACCTTCATCTTTTTAAAATTTTAATATAAGCATTTAAGGCCAAGCAATTAAGTGCCACTGCAGCTGCATCCTACAAGTTTTCATGCATTCTGGTTTTGTATCCAGTTCTAAATATTTTTAATTTCTATTATGATTGCTTCTTTGGTCATCAGTTATTTAAAGTTTGCTTCTTAATTCCAGCACGCGATTATATTTTGCTACTGATTCCTAAGTTCACTGCACTGTGGTTAAAATGTGTGTGGTCTGTTCCACACCAGTCCTTTGGGATTGGTGGAAACTGACTTTCTACTGAACAAGTGGGGAGGTTCCTTACCCGTGCTGGGCAAGATTGACACCACGTGAGTTCTGCGTTTACAGGGCACATCTCCTCCGCATGGGCACTACAGCCAGCTGGGCCATCAGACTTCCTAGAGCCTTACTGATTTTCCTTCCTTAATTAATTACTGTCAGAAGTGTGGCCACATCTCTTACTGTGAATGACTTTCACATTTCTCTTCCTAATTCTGTCAATTTTCACTTCAGGTATTTGTAGTCCCTACTGTGTTATTAGGTACAAATACATTTATCATTATTGTATCTTCCTGGTATATGAAAACTTTTATCAATTTCCAATGACTCTATCTCTATTAATGCTTTTTATTTATTTACTTTTCTGTCATGCAACTTCAAGGCAGGAAAACACCCTAGAGATCATCTGGGTCTGTAATGCTTTCTGCCATATAGTCCTATCTATCTGTCTAATATGAAAGCTATGCCAGCTTTCTATTTTAGTAACTGCCCGCTATGACTGCCTTCTAGAAAGCTTTGTATAGCCTATGCTTTGTATGTACTTTTTATTTAAAAAAAAATTTTTTTTTCAACGTTTTTATTTATTTTTGGGACAGAGAGAGACAGAGCATGAACGGGGGAGGGGCAGAGAGAGAGGGAGACACAGAATCGGAAACAGGCTCCAGGCTCCAAGCCATCAGCCCAGAGCCTGACGCGGGGCTCGAACTCACGGACCGCGAGATCGTGACCTGGCTGAAGTCGGACGCTTAACCGACTGCGCCACCCAGGCGCCCCTGTATGTACTTTTTATAAACAGCTTAGAGCTGGTGTTGTGCATTATTAATCCAGTCTGACAAACTCTGTCTTTTAAACAGTCCATTAACATTTACGGACATAAACTCTACCACCTCGTTTTGGTTATTTTTCTCACCTTCTCCAAGCTTCTTTTCTTGCCTTCTTTGGACTAAATGCATTTTGGCCATTCCTTTTTATCTCTTTCCACTAACTTGGCAATTATACATTTTATTTCTATTCTTTTAGCGAACATCTGAGAAATGTCAACATTCACATTTCATCAAGGTATAAATTTAATCAATTTGTTGACCCTTTCGAACAATACTAAAACTTTAGAATGCTTTTAACTCAACCTCCTTCCTCACTTCTATATACTCGTGGTCATATAGTTTAATTTCAGCTTTTGCTTTTTAAGCCCCTAAATGCATGCTGACTGTAGCTTTCCACAGGCAGTTTATGTTCATATTAACCACATTTTACCACTTTCTCTGCTTACTTTTCCTTCTTGCAATCCAATCCTTTTTATTCGTGATCACTCTTCTACCTAAAGAACATGCTTCAAGACTGCCTTTAGTGATGTCTTTGGGACACTCTCCATTGTCAGTGAAAATATCTTTATTTTATCCTTACCCTTGAAGACCGTATCTCTAAGGTGACAGTTCCAGGTCACGGTCATTTTCTCAGAGCACACTCGAGTTGCTCCACTGTCTTAGCTTCCTTTGTTGCTACTGAGAAATCGGCGGTCAGTGCAAATGTTGTTCCTTTGAACGTGTCCGCCCATCTGTCCTTCCGTCCTTCATGTGAAAGTTGTTTCCTTTGTCCCTGGTACCTCTGCAGTGTCACCACAGTGTGTACAGATGTCAATTTCTCTCCAACCTTCTTGAGATTTGCTGGGTTTACTGAATCCGAGGAGTGTTCCGTTCATCAGCCCTGGAAAATTCTCAGCCCTGCTACCTCTCCAGCTCCTTACTGCCTCCCCCCAGTTCTGTCCTCTTCTCTTGGAATTCTGACTGAGTGACTGGATATGTGGTAAATCTTCTCGGCCTATCCTCCATGCCCTCTAACCTCACTTCCACATTCTTTCTCTGTCTGGTCTGCATTCTGGACATTGTCTTCATATTTGTTTTCCGGCTTACTAATTTTCTCTTCAGATGAGTTGAGCCTACCAAGTTTTTATCACAATTTTTATATTTTCATTTTTAGAATATCTGATTCTCTCTCAAAGTTGTATATTTCTATAATTTCTTGCTCCTTACTGACATTTTCAAATCTTTTATTTCATCATAGATTAAAAATACTAGTTTACTGTGCTAATTAATTATTCCAGTGTCTTAAGTCTTTATATGTGTGAGTCTACTGTCATTTTCTGCTGACTTGCTTGTGGGGCCTTGTTTCCTTATGTGTTTTATGACTTTTTTTTCCACTGGGATTTCATATTCCTTGGAACTCTGAGGCCAGAGTTGAAGACAGGTTTCTGCAAAGTGGCTCTGTGGTTGCTTTGTACCAGGCGTCTAACGGCACTGCCAACCCAGAACAACTTGAACTCAATTTCCACATACAGGAATTTTTCTCTTGACAGTCTAGGTAGCGGGAATTTGTGCTTCAAATTCAAAGATGTGCTTCAACTTATACTTACTAATTTTCAAAAAGACGTAGCTCTTTGCCCACCACACACACATGTGCCCCAACACCCAGGTCAAACATACCACTGTCTTTGCCCTCCTCTCCCAGGGGCAGGTTAAGCTCTAGCTACCCTTGTCCTGAAGATGCCATCCTGTGGGTGATGCACAGGAGCTCCTTTTAGGATCCCATTACTAGCAAGCCCCGGCCTTTAGTGCCTCCACCCAGTCTAAGAAGGTTCCACAAAAGCCTTCATGGGAGAAGCCAGCCTCGGCACTCCAATTACCTTTGCAGGTTCCTCCTCCACTTAGGTCCTGACTTCTAAGATTTTCCATGATAAGTTTCATTTTTGGTTTCATAAAAACATTTTCTCCAGCATTCTTAGTTGTTTTCAGCAGAAGCAGTCAGGATACCCAGTCCACCAAACTGCTGGGAGCACAAGTTCTCTGCACACAATTTCTTCACGTGTCTATAGGTGATTCTGGAGTGCCCACAGGGAAGAGCCAAAGCATCTTGGAATGCTGCTCACGGGCCGTCTCTGGCTCCCCCCACTCATTAAATCCAGTCGTCTAGCTTAGCCCTCAGTCCAGTTAACCTCACACCAGCATCCGACAGTGTGAACCCCTCCTCAAGTTCTTAGCACTCGTGCCTCCCCAGTGCTGAAATGACAGTGTCCCTGGGAGCCAGTCCTCTCTCTGCGCATCACTTCTCCGGGAACACGACTGAAAGCATCCTGCCCGCCTCCCGGACCTCACGAGGCCTCACACACCGCAGGGATTCACCGACTGAATAAATACATGACTGCCCGTGGCCACTTACCAGGTGGGTTAAAGGCGATGATACCATCTAAGAGCTTAGACATCTCCTTTTCTAGGGCTGCTAAGGTGATTTTTCCATTTTGTTCCAGGGAGCTGAGGAATTGAACCATCTGATGAGTGAAGGCTCGGCATTTTGGAACTGCATCCTGACAGAAAAAGGAGCGTTCATATGAATCCACGCAAGCAGTGTTAAGTGCTGGGGAGCATGCCACGGCTCTGACTGCTTTGGTAGCGGGTAGAGAGAACAGAGCAGGAGACCACACAAAGACAGGTGTGTGTCAAAGGACCGACCCTGTGTCTAGGGATACGCGCACATCTGTCACTAGAACACACATTCTCCCGAATTCCAGAACACTTCCTTTTTCACTATGTTAATAAAAACATTAACGCTATACTAATTACTTGCCAGAAACTTTTCCAAACACTTTTATGTTCATTACCTAATTTAATTCTCACAACAACACTTTACGGGCAAGTATTACTAGTTCCAATTCAGATGAGAACACCAACGTCACAATGGCAGGGGGCTGGGGACCGGAGTTGGTCAGACCTCAAACTCGTGCTCATAACTTATAACTTCCCTGCCATTCTGCTGCCAAGGACATCCAGATCCCTAAACCAACAGCTGCCACCCCCAACCTTTTACCCCTCTCGTTAGCCCATGATACTGCTGTAAGTGAAGGTTGACCAAGAGAGATAATTAAAACTAAAAACTCTAGGAGTACAAAATAAGTGCACCATGACATACATCCTCTACCTTTTTTAATTTTTTTTTCTTTTAACGTTTATTTATTTTTGAGACACAGAGAGAGAGAGCCTGAACGGGGGAGGGTCAGAGAGAGGGAGACACAGAATCTGAAACAGGCTCCAGGCTCTGCGCGGGCAGCACAGAGCCCGACGCGGGGCTCGAACTCACGGACCGCGAGATCACGACCTGAGCCGAAGTCGGCCGCTTAACCGACTGAGCCACCCAGGTGCCCCTCCTCTACCTTTTTTAACTGAGCCATCACGAGGCTTGAGCCTGTCCTCAGTAGCACTTACACTACTACAACCCTGAAGAACACTCTGCCTTTTAAAGCACCCACTCAACTTACGAGATGTTTCTGGCCGTCAGTAGGAACAGAAAGGCCTGCAGACACTCTCAGGAGCTTCATGATTAATTCAGCAGAAGGTTCCTTTGCCAGGATGACGGATGGCTGGTAATGGCTGCTGAAATAACCTAGCACACTCTGGTATGACACAACGTCTACAAGATGCCACGAAAGTGAGCTTGTTTGTCCAAGGAGATTCAGCAGAGGTGAATCCTGAAAATAAAACACACACTCCTTTAGTTTTGGAGTTCTCCATTTCCCAGAAATATGTCTCCAGTCTATGGAGTGACCACTAAGAGGGCCCATGACCAGCATGGAACAGGTAAGATGTCAAAGAAGTATCTACTCAAGTAGAAGTGCTAGTGAAAGTAATAACCAAAGTCTTGGCAAAAACACTTTAAGATTTGTAAGTATTCAGAACCCAGTTTTTCAAAGGAACTCTTGGATCTAGTCATAGAACTAGCAATTAATGAGATGGAAGATAAAATTGATTTTTATATTCTAACTCCATGTGCCTCCCTTCATGATCCAGAATTCGATTAGGAACGATCCCAGAAAATCAGGCACTAGTTGAAGGCACATCCCAAATGCCAAGCAGATATCACGCCGACAGAGGTGTTAGGGAAACCAGTGAAAAACTACAACTTCGTAGAAAGGGAGGATATCGGAAGCCTTGCCAAGTCTTCATCTCAGGCTCTCCAAACTTACTGCTTGGTCTACCAGCTGATCTTCCTTTGCCAATAAAATCATCATGAAAAGGAGGCAGACAATCATGCTCCGCGTCTCTGGGTGAGGACTGGGGCTCCAGGCGTCAGATAGCACACTGACCCAGTTGACTTCGCACAGGACAGACCCCAAAAATAAGAAGCAGCTCTTAGGGCTTCCTCGTTCCACCTAAAGGGAAATGAATTCAAATCAATGTTTTGCTTTAAGCTATCTTGAAGATGTGTATAAATCAGTGTTTACTAAATTGTATTTTAGAAAGTAACTTTTTTCCCAGATTATAAAAATCATCTATAAATCCTTCCCCCAGAGATTTAGACTTAACATTTGTCATATTTTTTCTTCCATGCTCAGTGAATGTGTACATTTTTCACCTTATTTAGAGTTCATTATTTATTCCACGAATTCTTTTTTTTCTTTGTTATTTTTTTTAGAGAGA